CCGTTTTGTGTCAGGGTGCGAACAGCGTTTCCTCTCAGGGCTCTCCGGGCCCTCGACTCCCACGGGCGGGGGCACTCAGCCGCGCCCCCTGTCGGGGGGTTGTTCCCCCAGGGGCGGTCGTCACCCCTCCCCCCTCAGTATGTTGAGAGGGACTTCACTGCCACTCAGCGGTCAGCTAGACACTTCTCGCCTTCGTCAGCTGAGTGGCCGCGGCTCAGGGTACTACCATTGCCCCTTTGATGTAGGCAGCCTAGCTAGGTAGCTGCCGCCCTAGCTCCCACCACGGCCGTCTTCACTAATTCTGTGGGCCGTCAACAGCTCACATGTCAATCTGTTCTCTTGTCGACGGCCTCAGTGAGGGCGTACCGCCCGAGCGTCGAGTGTTTGACGGTACGCGCTCTATTGTTCCGGGTTCACACCCCGGTTTGCCTCTGCTTAGTTGTTGGGAGGACTGGGGCTCCATGGGAGCGTTGAATTGCGCTGTTAGGGATTGTTAGATTTGGTTTTGGTCGAGCACTTAATAAACGATGCTTTGAATTAAAATTAAAACTGGTTTGTGCCTTCCGCGAAATGTTCATATTTGTGGCAGTTGTGATTAAAGGGGTTGAATTTAATATACTCCTTGAAGGCTTGTGCACATGTTTGTAATTGTAGTTGATCACTGTGTTTGTTTGTCGCAAGGAAAATTGTGTTATAATCACTCGCTAATAGTTTCGCACAGTATCGAGGTCACATTCTCCCCGCCCGAAATTGAAATTGAATGATGTGCCCTTTGAATGCTTGTGCATATGTTCTGTAAATGTGTTTGATCACTGTGTTTGTTTTGTTGCACAGAAAATTGAAATTGAATTGTGTGACCTTTAAGTGGTTGTGCATATATTTGTAATTGTAGTTGATTACTGTGTTTGTTTTTGCGCGGAAAATTGAAATTGAATTGTGTGCCTTTTTGAATGCTTGTGCATATGTTTTGTAATGTATTTGATTATTGCGTTTGTTTTGCTGAAAGGGAAGTTTGAGTTCATTTGAAATTGAATGACGCGTTATTTGAATATTTGTGTGTATGTTTTGTGGATGTGTTTATCGTGTTGTTTTGTTGAAAAGAGAATTGAAATTGGATAACCCTATTTGTCACGAAAGGAATGGGTTTCGTTCCTCTTTTGGGTTTCACATTTTGTTGGCACTGTCTGAGATATTTGTTTGAAATGAGAAGTGGGGCTGTCTCTTACGTTTATCGTTTTGTTTAATTTGTCAGTGTGACCTATGTGCAGCGGTGATTAATTTGTTTGAATTAATTCTGTAGTTAAACATTGATACATTTGAAAAATTAGTTGAAATATGAGCTTAGGACTACTTGTCTAACAGGCTAGCTAGTTTTGGAGATTATCAGATTGAAATCAGCTGCCGTACTATTTAGTAAATGATTATATGGTGGATGGCTTGGTTAGGACTATTTGTTGAAAATTCATACTAGAGACTATCTGTGCGTTCCGTTCGGCTCCCCACAGACGACGTTCATGTGGAATTTGTGGGTGCGCTCAGTACTGAAGCTTAGGAGGCCACTCTGGGCCGCTTCGTGTAGCGTCGCTGTTTGCAGACCTGATCCGGTCAGATTGCGGAACTAATCGTAGGGGCACAGATAGGTGTTTGAAAGAGGTCGTCGGACTTCTGTCCAGTACAGGACTTATTAAAGTGCTGCGATGCCCAGGAGGTGCATCCAGTGGAGGCGGACCCTCCGGCTTGCCCACATTGGGGCTGTATTTTGAGGCGGTGGCTAGGGTTGCAAGATCTGATGATGTGTCTAAGGTGGCCTAGTTTTGGTTGCAGATTCGGTCTTGCAAACGTGCCGTCGCGACCCTGTCCCGCATGTCGGTTTGCTCGCGGACCTAAGTACTTATGTCCGGGACGAGGGTTTGTTTATGCCCAAATTTGGTCCTGTTTTAACGCCAACCAATTGTGTTCAAGCTGGCGCCTCACCCGATGGTATATAGGTGAGATAAGCGCCGAGATGGGGTCGGTCGCTCGACGCGTGGGCAGTCGGTCACTCGACGCGTGGGCAGTCGGTAGCTCGACGCGTGGGCAAAACGTCGGTGCCCCGCCAGCCACGAGGCGGAGAGACCGTCAGGCTCAACATTCACGGCCCGTCATTGATCTATATAGCTAGATGAAGTACGTGCTTCTTTGTCACGTAGATATGTGAATTGTGCGATATTTAACTCGGGCAAGAGTGCGGAATAGTGTACGCGCATCTAGTAGATATACGGTCTAGGATTCGAGCCGCGCATTCCTAGTTTCAGAGCTTCTCCCGGTTAATTGTCAAGATATCATTATAATTGTGTCGTCCCGTTTAGTGCCCCTTTTGTGTTTTGGTTGGCTAGTTAGATTAATTCGCGTGTCAACGAGGCGTACTTTGAATCTTGCGCGACGTGTTGTTCTGGTGTCGAATGAAGGAACTTAGTTGTGTTTAACGCTGAATCTGTCGGGTATCACGTGTTCGATTCTACGATGAATGTGGAATTAGGCGAATTTAAGTTAGTTAAATGTACAATGTAACTAATAAACTGAATTAGTGACAATGAAGAAAGAAATGGTCCAGCGATCGAGCCTGCTGGAGCGATGCAGCATTTTGGGGTAGCCTGAAACTCGGCCGCTGGTGGTCGCCTGAGCTTGCTCAGGTTGCGGACATTTACACCTCACTGTACACTACACGTCATCCACTATTACACACACACAAGGCCTGCCCACGCCTTGGTGCGAAGTTAGCTTCGGATAATGGTAAGAACTATGTGTTTCTAGCTTTCCCCCATATAGTTTATTGTGATAGAACATATTCCACGTGGCCATATTGAGGCCCGACCTACGTCTGCTCGTGAAGTCTCCGCTGATGGGCCCCGGATGATTGAAACTTTGCTGGAGCAGTGGTAGGCCGTAACAACTACATTGGTATGTATACAACTTAAATACTCCCTTACTTATTTGCAGATCGTCCAAAAATGTTCCAATCACAAGTCCTAGCAGTAAAACCATTCGATTGTGAAGGCGATCCAACCTCCATAAGTTTCCGGTGAGACAAATGGAAACGTGCCCTAGAAATATACTTCGTAGCAACAAATACCAATGCTCAAATTATAAAACGCGCCATGCTATTACATTCCGGATGCATGGCATTACAAGACATGTATTTCAATATACCTGGTGCCCACGTGACTAATCCTGATGCGACTGGCGTGTATGACACCGCAATTAAAAAGTTGAACGAGGATTTTCCCCCCAAACAAAGTTATTTATTTGAAAGGCACATTTTTTGGTTGATGAAACAAGAACCAAATGAGAAGTTTGAAAAATTCTTGGTTCGTCTGAGACGTCAATGTTCTAAATGCAATTTCGCTGATGCAGATAAAAATATTATTGACCAAATAATAGAAAAGTGTAGCTCGACCAAATTAAGGAAGAACATTTTAGTACTTTGTGACACGGCAACCATTGAAAAAACCGTGGAGAGGCAAATTCCCTAGAAACCGTAGAACGGCGGCTAAACGAGTTTCACGATAGACAGAGCGCAACAACTACCACCGTAAATAAAATTGACACTAAAGCAATGAAACTATATTCTAAAAAAGAGGTTAATTTCGGTAGCCGATGTGGCAGTAAAAGTCACAAATATGACAATAGTTCCTGTCCTGCAATAAATGTAAATTGTGTGAAATGTGGTTTCAAAGATCATTTTCAGAAACACTGTAGAGTAAGGGCCATTAAAAGAAAAAGTACTAACTTGTCATCAAATGAAAACCATAAAGTTAAGAAACCCAAAACAGAAACCACAAAAAATAAAGAGTCTGCATCTGTAGACTATATTTTCCATATCGACGATGACGCAACAATAGATTGTCAGGTAGGTGGGGTAAACAAAACATGGTAGTAGATGAAATATTATTAATGATAAAACTTGGGTATACATGAAACAATCTTCCTTCCTTCCATACGTAACGTGCCAAACATCCCTATAAAGTGTTAGGCTTATTTGACGCACAAATAAAAGTGGGTCCTAAATCATTATTAACAAAATTTTATGTTATGGAACATGGTTCAAGGAATCTTTTGGATAAAGAATCCGCCATTTCCCTTGATGTGCTAAAACTAGGCTTTGTCGTGAATTTCCCAATAAAAAACAATTTCCCGAGTTCAAAGATGTTCAATTAAACATCACTATTGACAAAACTGTTCCTCCAGTTTGTCAACCTTATAGACGAGTCCCAATTCTTTTGGAATTAAGGATAAATAAGAAAATAGACGAACTGGTTAAAATGGACATCATTGAACCTGTAAATAAGCCACCTTCTTGGGTTTCTCCGATGGTACCGATTCTAAAATCTGATGATGATATTCGAATTTGTTTGTATATGCGTGCTGCGTGAGAAAATCATCTCTTGCCTACCACGGAACAACTTATTCCCAAATTTTGCAAAGCAACATATTTTTCAAAGTTGGATATTAAGAACGCTTTTCATTAGGTTGAGCTAGATAAAAATAGCAGAAGTACCACAACTTTCATCACTAGTAAAGGACTTTACCGATACAAAAGATTAATAATGTTGGGGATATCTAGCGCACCTGAACATTTCAGAAAAAATTATGGAGTAAATGCTATTGCCATGCGAAGGGGTGGTAAACTTCATAGATGATATTGCTGTCTTTGGACGTGATAAAAAAGAACAAACAAAGACAATAATGTTTTACTGAATAAAAATAAATGTATTTTTAATGCAAAATCTATTTAGCTTCTGGGCCACGAGCTCGTGGCACTTGACAAATATATAAAGGCAATCGAGACGTTTAGACCACCGCAAACCATCGAAGAAATTCAAAGTTTTCTGGGCTTAATCAACTTTGTAGGAAAGCGGATCCCCAATTTGTCAACCTTAACGTAACCCATTGGGCAACTGCTTCGAAAAAAATGCACAAAATTGCTACTATCATAAGTTTTTGGCAAAAAAAAACATTCAATGGCTTTTGACGAATTAAAAAATTGTCTATCCAAGATTCCTACTCTTGGCTACTATGATCCAAATGATCGTACCCAAGTAACCGCCGATGAAAGTCCGGTAGGTTTAGGCGCTGTACTGATTCAGTACGATAACAAAGGAACCCGCATCATTGCCTTCGGAATCAAGAGCCTGACAGACATTGAGAAACGATACTGTCAGACCGAAAAGGAGGCATTGGCTTTAGTGTGGGCAATTGAACACTTCCACATGTGGGATATGGGAAAAAATTTGAGCTTGTCACAGACCATAAACGTCTGGAGGTTATATTTGGTACGCGATCAAAGCCTTGTGTGCGAATCGAGTGCTAGGTCCTTCGGTTACAAGCATTTGATTAGGAAGTTATTTATAAGCCCGGAAAATCCAATATAGCAGATCCATTATCACGTTTATACACGACCAGCATTCAAAACAGTTCTTTTGAAGCCGAACATCATGTTAACCAGATTGTTAAATACGTGCGACCCATAGCATTATCTCTTAAATCAATTATTGGAGCATCAAATGACGATGATGACTTAAAATTAGTAAAAGATGCTTCTTCACTCACCTTCAATTTGCCGACGATATAGTGCTTATGGCAGAATTGCTGGAGGACCTAAACTTTATGTCGAGGATCTCAATAGTGTCTCTCAACGGATAGGTCCTAATATGAACATGGACAAAACAAAAGTCATGTGTAACATACGCACTTAGCTCAAAGTTGTTGAAGAGTATATTTACCTGGAACAGATAGTCTGACTAGGTAAGTGCAACTTCGACCGAGAGGATAATCAACCTATTTAGCTCGTCTGGGCAGCGTTCGGGAGATTACGACATATCTTCTCGTCAGGTATACCTCAAAACCTCAAAACTAGATTTTACAACCAATGCGTGTTGCCAGTGATGACCTATGGATCTGGCTTGATCTTTCCTTCACTGTGGGCCGTAGGAGGCAGCTCAAAGACACTCAGCGAGCTATGGATAGGGCTATGCTCGGGGTTTCTCTGCATGATAGATGTAAAAACGAGGATATCCGCAGTAGAGCTAGAGTAACTGACATAGCCCAACGGATTAGTAAGCTGAAGTGGCAACGGGCCGGCCATTTATCTCGATGAACCGACAACCGATGGGGAAGTAAGGTTCTCGAGTGGCAGCCTCGTACCGGTTGGCAAAGTGTAAGGCGCCCCCCCCCCACAAGATGGAGGATGGAAGTCTATGGATGCAGGTGGCTCGGGACCGTGCTTTGTGGCGTTATTTGTGGGAGTCCTATGTTCAGCAGTGGACTTGTGAAGGGCTGTAATGATGATAATGATTATGATGTTTGTTTGTCTGTTTGGTTATGAACGTATCACGTCTACAGTACTAATATTTATCAAAGGATTTGTAATGACGATCACACTGTGTACATTTAAATAACATATAAGTATTAATATTAATTTCAATAATCGCAATATTTGCAATAAGGTGTAAAATAATGTTCTTTAATGATATATTGTCAAAAGAAAATAATACTTTTCTCAAATAGAAAGATTGACGTAAATCTTATTTAAAATTACAATAGTCAATAAGTAGTATCATACAGGGATGATGTGCAAATGTAATCGTATTTCCTGTAGATGTGTCTTCATAATTGCAACCTATTTTTATATAACATACAGGTGGAATAACTAAAACAAATAAAATCAAATGTAAACTTTTTAATATTGTAGTGTTAATACATTGTACTTTTTATGTAATATATCAACTGTAAAAACGTTGTGATGTACACAGTGGCAGAACCACTCGGTAGCTTCTGCTGTTGCATGGATGGGCTGGCTCAAATTTAAAAATAAAAGACTGCCGCAGGAGGGTACTAGCACACCTGGTAAAGGAGAATCCCTCACTGAGCATTCACGCCCAAGCTATCCTCCTATTCAGGCTTTGCTCAGGCTGCCCTCATTCTCATTCGGACAGATATCAGGTCTCCGCCGACGCCCCTCATAGCTCTTTGGACCATTGTCTAATCCGGAGTGTGGCGGAGGAATTGTTCGGACTAATTCAAGCCGCTAAATTTCACCATTGTACATCGCGTCAAATTCTCCATACCATCCATAATATTTGGGTGATTGGCGGTTCACCACTGTGTGATTAAATATAATTTTTCTTCCTCATACGACTTCCTTGTGGAAGCGACTATTACTAGCGATTTTTTCCGGATCAATACAACTCAGGGACCTTAAAAAAAAAGAGCCTACTCTTTTTTAAAAGACCGGTAATGCATCTGCGAATCCCTTGGTGTTGCAGTTGTACTTGGGCGGTGGCTGTTGCCATTAGGTGAGCCGCATGCATATTTACGCCCTCTGATATAAAAAGCTAGGACGTCAATCAAATCAAAGATTTAAATTTTAAACACTATTTGAAGTAGCGCCCATCTTAAACAACAGCAAAAAGAATGATACTCTACTTCTATTAAAAATAAACCATACAACATTTATCTATCCCATTACTCAGTATAGATATCTACATATTTTTGAGAGAGATTTTTTTGAACAGGGAAGTACTTATGACGTTACCATACTACTAACGAACTAACTAACAATTAACGAACGCATTTATTTACCTTCAATTTTTAAAATTTAGGTTAACAAGGTTTTTATTTAATACCGTGCACGTACTCAGCACTGTTCCGTTGGTTTCGACGTGGATTGAAATTAGGTTTTTTGCGTTTTATGCTGGTACTTATTCCCTTAGCTTCCAGAGCTTTCATTTCGTTATTAATCGATAAATTTATTAATGTACGTATAATTCATCTTTAATTATAATATTGCTCTCCATTATTTGAAATCTCTCATCCTACTGATTTTAACGTTCTAATATGTAATGTATCATTACAGTCTGTTAAAACTTCACTGCTGAACCTGATCCTAACCCATTACCTCCCCCACACATAGCCTCTTACTAGAGATATTCATATAGTTGCAACGACTGACAGTCGCAATTTTTTTAAATCTGCTGTTATCAAGCAGATGCTGCTGCACATCTCTGGGTTCAGATAACGTCTATCGTCGTTACGAAACGCACAGGATGAAATGAGGTAGTGAATAATCTTACACCTCCACTATACAGTTATATATATTATAAAAATCGTTTTATCTATCACCGATTAAGAATTAAAATACAAGTGGCGTGTCACCACTAACGTCTTAGATGTGGGAAATCAACGATAACAACAAAAAGAGTATAGTAGTAATAATTGATATTCATTGAAAACTTGGTCTATTCCCGATTGAGATGTATGTATATATCTATTGAAGGCATGAATCTACTACGTACAATACGTATTATAATATGAATAAGTTTGTTATATAGGTTATTCCAACGCTTTTGCTATTTTTACAGTCATAGTAACTCAAGTCTTGTTTGCTCTTATTTAATTTTATAGTACGCGAGTAGCGAGTAGCCTGCCGCCGAAATTTTAACTGCAATTTTATTGCAATGTTGATTTACTACGTATTCGTTGGTAAAGGCAAATCGTGAGGAAAATATTTCATAGCGACGTGAAGTCCGTTTAAATAAATATATAAATAGTTTTACCTATAATAAATAAATTAATATTTTATTGTTTCGTCAGAAATATTTCATTTATTTGTTATTTTTGTTATTTTAAATATTTTCAAAATTTTTGGAGAATTTTCTGGGTTGCAAATTAAATATAACAGCATAATTATTTCTCTTAATCTATACCAGTGGAAAACATTGCACACAAAAATATGTATTGCAGTGCACACATAAAGCGGTGAAAATTTTAAAAGATTTGATCATACAATACTGGTCTAGTTGGTGTGCCATAGAAGATGGATTCACAATTCATTTTATATGGCATCTATATATAGCGGTGCTTTTACCATTTCCTCTCTCTCAAAGCCACGTGTGTTAGGTACTTTATGTGTAGGGGACATCGTAAACAAGATGGGAAATCATTTAGAAAAAAAATTCCTTGTCGCACTAATAATACAATGAATTTTTTAACTGAGACATTATGGGGAGATGCAATACCATAAGAGATACAGTGAGACTTTCTTGGAAAAAAAAATCAATTATTAATAAGTAAAAAATGAAGATATCTCGGTTTAACTACGACCTGTCAAACAACTCAGTCGGAAACGTGCAGAAATGTTAGAAATCGAAATAAGACGCCATATAATTGAAAAACTCGTTTTATTAAATTTGTAGTATTCGCATAAATATAAGAAATAAAAAAAGTACGCCACACCACTCACGCAAGGCTTCTTAGTCTATAATATGTATAACATAATAGTCACCTCGTGAAGAAAACTTATGCAACTTTATGTGAAATGGGTTTACGTGCTTGAAAATACACCTCTAGATTACACTACCTTCGATAATTACTGATAAACAGGATTTGTAATGAGCGGTAACGCAGACATCACAGTTTTACTGTTTTTCTTTAATTATGGCTGTAACTTAAATATGTACTCATTGAAATTCGGCAATTAACAAATGGTAACGATTATAATACTCTGCAGATGTTCTTCTCTTATGATTTCTATTTTCACGGATTAATCGTTCAATTGTAGTCGTGAATTGACGTGCTGAATCACACGAATTTTAACCTTCCGGCGAAAAATAAGATTTTTACAGCATCCCAACTTATATCAGCTCTCACTGGCGATACTATGCGTCTCATGTCATTATGAATTTATATGCTCTAGGATTAGGATATAATGAGGGCATCCACGACTATATTTTTGCCACCAGGATGGCGCCATTTAAAATTAGGTGTAATATTTGACATATATAATAACGGGGAAGTTAATTTATTGCAAGAATGTAAATGTTTATTTCTGTACTATTAGTTATATTTTCTATTAATGTGATTAAAAATAAATAAACCAAACCACAGATATTCAAAACAGTAGAAAAATTAAAAACAGAATTATAAACGTGTAAAAATCCAAAGAATAAAACACTAAGGCATTCTTTTTTTATATTTATTTTTGAATTCCTTAAAAGTAAATCCCCCCCAAAGATGAGAGTAACAAAGAGATGGCCCTCAGTCCCCGGCGGCCCCGCTATTCCTGGCTACGGTGACGACCATGGTAACGGCGGGACAGGGGGTGCTAAGAATCTCCGGTGGAGGTTCGAATGCCACCTACGACGACTCAACCTGGCAACTTATAACGCACGCACCCTGAGGACTGACGAGAAGATCCTGGAGCTGGAAGAAGAGATAGACAAGTTGCACTGGAATATCATAGGATTATCCGAGGTCCGAAGAGTTGGGGAGGACACGGTAATCCTCGAATCCAGCAACTTGTTCCTTCACCGGGAGGGCGACCATCTGTCCCAAGGAAGTGTCGGATTTATCGTCCATAACTCTCTCGTTAACA